GAACTGGTCCGGGATGGTTGGTGGATCATAGCGTCGTAGCAGAGGTAACATCGGTGCTCCGAGGTGATTGACAAGGGCCAGATTATCACATCAGATAATCAAACCAAGTTATCAATCGGCTCCACACCGGTCCCCTTGATCCAGTCTGCTTCTGTCAAATCTCACAGCAGAGAATCCACCGGCCCCAAAGTGCATCCCAAGCCCTGCCCTGTCGGAGGAAACGGAGGAAGGAAGAGTGAGGCGAGGAGGCCCTGGAATGCTTGTGTCATCCTGCCCGACTGCCATTCGCCCAAGCGACACTTGGCTATGCCTGCGTGCTGTCGCGTCCCGGGAGCTATCCTCATCGGGGATCACGGCTCTTGACACATGGCCCTCGCTAGGACTGATTGGGGGCGCCTCCACTGAACAAGAGTCAAGGATCAGCGAAAAAACATGATTCTGCCGGCTCGGCGCTTTCGATTGTTGATTCGACCGGCATCTCGCAATCCCTTGGGAAATGAACCTGGCTACGGAGCTGTCCTGGATGTCGGTCAAGTCATCCAAATAATATGTGAATGCCGCTTAGTTACTATGGACCACAAGCATCCATCCCCCCGTGTCATCTCCCAACCGTACGTGAACCTCCTGCTCTCTCGCTACGGAACCTTTCTCCTCCCCGGCAGTCTCTGCAAACCGCATCACTTCACTTCACATCACCTTTTCCACCCTCCGCATACGTGGCTGTGTCGTGCGTGTCCCCCCAATCCACCACTGGACATGTGCAGTGCAGTGCTAAAACGGAGCTGACGTAGTGCTTCACCTTGCCCCCACCAAGGATCATCGTCTGGGGCTCCAACGAGATCATTTCCTGGTATATTATGAGCACCCGGCTGCTCAGTCCGCGTCCCAGGTGCATAAGTTGCGCATCCTGAGACACTTAATCACATAATCACCTCACAATCTTCATTTACTTCCCTTCTTCACTCACAAGCGATTCTCTTTTTTCCCCTTACAACCCAGACGCATCGGTGTCACATCGGACAGGGGCAGACGTATGCGTAAAAGTGGAGGAACATCCCATCCGCCAAACCTCGCCTCCAAAACGAAACGAGGGGATTAGAAGAAAAAAAAAAGAAGGAAAGAAAACACGGCGAAGGAAACCCCAGACGATGACGCCGTTCCCAGAACCACCCAAGGGCCCGTGGGCCAGCCGGGGCGTGACGAGGCACGAGAAGCAGATGCTCCAGTTCGTCGTCGACGTTCTCGACCAACCAGGCGGGCGGGAGCTGCTGCTGACCGAGGACGGCGTGCGAGCCCTCCGCCGGCAGTTTGGGCTGCACGACGGGGTGGTCTTCGAGCCGGCAGATACCCAGAGATACGCAGAGAAGCTATTCTTGGCTGTGAGTCTATTTATTTTTCTCCCCATCCTTGTTTCCTTCTCCTCCTCTTACTTTTAGTTTGAATGGGGTCAAATGACGACGATGGCGTTGCCGATCATGCTCGCTAACCAGAATATACCCACACCAAGGCCCTCCGCGACCTGAAGCGCAAAACGATCCATTCCGCGTGCAGAGGCGTCTGCGCGGTCCTCGACGCCGAGTTCGAGGTGCTCCAGTCCGACTCGCTCGTCCCCGATGCGCTGCGGCGGTCGCTGGGCCGGCTGGCGGGCCAGCAGGCGGAGGCGAGCGGCGCGCCCTGGGACGTCTGGTGCTTCCTGACGGACGACGCGGACGACCGCGAGTGGTGGGGGTCCAGGGCCGTGCTGGACCCGTTCATGTTCCCCGCGGCGCGCGGGAGGACGAGGACGCTCGGGGAGGGGGGACGCATCGACCTGGAGCGGTGCTGGCAGTGGATGGGGATGGGCGACGTGCGGACGACGGACGGCCTGCTTGGGACGTACGGGGAGGAGCAGACGCCGTTGGAGTTCCGGGTGCTCCCCTCGGAGGTGCACTTCCGGGCGGACGGGACGGCGCAGATTGCGAGCTACGTGAACGGGCTGCACCCGAGCGTCGGGGGCATGTACGGTGCGCTGGAGAGGGTGCTGGATGTTGTGATACCGCAGTGGCAGAGGGTGCTCGGGAGCTTCGAGGACTGCAGGCGGATCGTGCCGGACAAGGCGTTCATGGGCGGCTACATGTCCCAGCTGCGGTCTGCAGGCGGCGGGGGGCGGTTGCACCCAAGCATTGCGGTTCTGAATCAGGAGAGGCGGGAGGATTTCAAGGCGGCCCGGATGGGCGAGGAGGATAGCCTGCAGGTGATATTCCGCATGGACAACATCGCGGGCGAGGCGGTCTACATGCAGGACGACGACAAGCTTGGGTATGGTGTCAACTACAGCAGGGGTGAGTGGCGACGACCGGCGCCTTTCTCGGAGGACGTCGTCGCCGTGGCTATCTACTGCTACGACGCGGATGAGTCGCAAGGCTCAGAGGTCCGCATCCAACTGAAGCAAGATACGTCACCGGACGTCTTCGACGCATGCAGCAAACATCCCTCCTCGAGGTTCACCGGCGGAAACAACAACGTGGCAGCCAGGGCGTTCAACGAGCTATACAACGAGGTCGAGGTCAGCCCGTACGACTCCCTTGAAGGGGACTACCCCGACATGGATCCCGAGAAGCCCAGCGCCGTCGAGCTGCTGGGCTCCGTGCGGCTCGCCCAGGGCAGACTGCTCGTCTTCCCCGCCAGCGTGCAGCACAGGTTCTGGGTCAAGGGAGTGCCCTCGAGCTGCGGGATCCTCACCATGGCGCTGGTCGATCCCCGGCGGCCGAGCGGGCTATCGACCGCCACGGTGCCTCCTCAGTCGCGCGACTACTGGCGCGCGCACATCCGCGACATCCCCTGGTTCAGGCGCCTGCCCGAGGAGCTGTGGCTGCTCATCAACTCGGAGCTGGACTCGATCAAGGGCGGGGGGGCCACCGCCGACGGGGGAGATGACGCTGACGACTGCGATCATCAGCAGTACCCGGTGTCCCGGCGCGCGGCATGGGAGACCAGGCAGAAGGTCAATGAGGCGCGTGCGCGGTACGAGCAGGAGATTGGCAACACGATGGTGTCGTGAGCGAGGCCCAGGCAGCGAGCTGGGGGACCGGGGGAGGGGGCGACTTGTTTGTGCTGACCTGGAGATAAGAGGCGTTTAAATTGTGCACACGCATGCCGTGGGGTTTATTGTATATTATCGTGTGTTATTGGCGATAGTGAGTCAGACTTAGCGAACTTACAATGGCCCCAACGATGGGCCTTTCGTCTTTTTTGCGTAACCCGCCACGCTGTCAGTCAGCCCGGCCGCGCCACTGTGAGATGGAGCTAGTCGATGATTCATGGCAGGGGAGAACATTTCCCCTGGGCGATTTGCGGGGGATTGGGATTTCAGCTCTCATTGAAGGGCAGGTTGTATGTGGCGCAGCAGCTCTCCGAAAAAAGGTGCTTTTGCTAGGATCGCGGGATAGCCCAGCTTCGGGTTTGTTGGGGGCCGAGAGAGTGAATGCATGTCTCAGCTCAATGTCCAATGCAGTGGGCAATAGATCTAGATTGGCCGCGCAATAGTATGCACAATAGATAAGTAACGAGGCTGCCGTCGGAATCGAGGTTTAATAGTTGACAGGAAACATGCAGCTGTTATCGTGGCTAGCCCGGTCCAGCCCAGCCCATCCGAACCCGAAGGGCGGGAAAAGGTCTAGACAGGTGCGGCTGACGGCCACATTGCTGCCCCTTGCAGCAAATAGCCCGCCATGAGGCTGTGCGCGAGATTAAGATGACGATGACGATGACGCTGGGACGGCGAGCATGGGATGGAATGTGATTCGCATCACCGTGTTGTTGTTGCCAGTACGCGGTGGTGACGAACACTGATGCACGACGGCAATGTGATATCTACAGCGCCACACAAAAATAACACTGCAGCAGCCTGGAGGATTCACAACGGGTGATTATTATAGCAGCGATCGCCGACGACGAGGAACGGAGGAGGAGGCCTGGAATCGACGGATCAGGCCAAGATCTTTGGTGCAGCACTGCGTGGTACTGGGGCTAAATTTAGCGGGGTTCCCTGCCAATAGTGGCCGCGCCCTCAGGCACCGACGGGGCCCAGGGCTGGAGTGACTGCTGTGAGTGACTGCCTTAGCGAACACTAGAGCCCAGCAGCTGTCGGTATCTGGGGGTCTAGGTTTGCGCTAGCTCTCGCCCTCACGCGCAGCAATCCCTCCTCCTCCCTCCTCCCTTGACAGAGTCATATGTCATGTCAAGCCAAGCCCAGGTCCGAAGGGTCCGTCCGCGACAATAGGGCTCAGTCTCTTGGCGCTGTCATACGGCAATGGGTCCCGTTCCAAGCCCCGAAGCCCACCAGCCAAGACCCAAGGGAGCCGACCGAGTCTGTTTTGCTGGCTTGGCTTGACAAAAGGCGCTGTCAGCACACATCAGCCTTCTCGTAGCACCATTAATTAAACCCTAGGACTGCGCATGATAAAGAGCGCCGTCCCCTTTGAAACACATCTGTCCTCAGACCTGTGATCACCTACTCATCTGTCCTCGGCTTCGATCCCTTCCCTACATTATTACCCTGCCTTACTAAGGACCGGGTCTCCGCCTGCCTGTTACATCCCACTCGACTGACGCTGCGACTGTTGGTGGTGCGACCCTGCACAACCTGTAACTCTACCCGCCCGCTTCCTGTTTCGTCCGCTGCCTGCCTTTCTCGACCGATCCTCGCTGTGACTGGCTGGCGGTGAAACGCATATATCAGTCAATCCGTCCCATCCTTTCGGCCACCAAATCCACATCGCAACAAGACACTTTCCTTCCTTTTCCTTTCTTCCGTCCATCCTTTATACAGAAATAAACCAAAAAATCAACGACGCACAAAAACAAAAAAGACCGGAAAATATACATGACGACAGGTTTCGCCTCTATACACCAAAAAAAGACTAGACCGACGAGCCTACTTCTGCTCTTTCCTACATATACTCAACCCCGCCTCCTCTTTTTTTTCCTACGATAAACCGACTTCCTTCCATTCACACAAGATGCGCTTCCAATCCCTTGTCGCACTCGCCCTCGTCGGCCTCTCCGCCGCCCTCCCTGTCACCAAGACCAGCTCCCCGACCGTCCTCGATCGCGGCTGCTACTGCCCCGAGGGCACCAACCCCGACTCCTTCACGAGGAAGTGCACCAGCGCAAAGGGCAAGACTGTCGACCAGATCTGCCCCGTCTCGAAGCGCCAGCCCCAGGAGACAAGGGGCAAGAAGTGCCACTGCCCCGACGACACCATGCCCGACATTGTCTCAGGCAAGTGCGTCGTCGTCCAGACCGACAACGTCATCGACAAGGTCTGCGTATAGAGCGGCTGATCCGATTGAATCGGCAGCCAAACCAATCCAACAAACCTAAAGAGAGACAAAAATAAATGATACCAAGCGACTCTGGTTCATTTTCTCTAGACCCTATGCTCCGACATTTCCTTGCGTTTTCCGCCTCTCGCATCTGATGGTATCCCGGACTTGCCGGGATTCGGTATGATTTTCGGGCATCACCAAGTACCTCGATGGTACCGCAATGTCTCGCACCTCCAAGATGCTGTGCTGGGTTCACAGCGCTACGACTTATGATGATCATTGAAAAAGCGTTACGTCTTTCTGTGTATTTTCCTCCTTACTCTCGCTTCACGAGCTGTTTTTCTTGTTTTTTTGTGGTCTATGGGATGAGGACATGAGGATATGTACGCCCTGCGGAGTTTTTGGGTTCCTGCGATTTTCGGGGTTCTGGTCATTTCTGAGCGTTATGGGGTGGACACACTGGGGGACTGTGTTGTTTCTCTTCTTCACCGACAGGTGCTTGGCATCCCGTCACCGACTCGATGCATTTCTCGTTTTGCTGTTTTTCTTTATCTGCTGAATACCCCAATGCAATCTTTTTTATCGGCCAATGCTCGTATGGCCCTCGTGTTCACCTCTTGGCGCCTCATTCCAGTGCATGACAGCGAGTTAACTACTATGTAAGCGCTGCGGTCGGTCCCTCGGCTCCCCTCTTTTTGGCTTGGCCAGGACCCTTGGGGCTGCTTGGCATGTGCCGCAGTCCCGTTACAGGAAAACAGGCGCAGCGAGAGCGAGAGCGCAAAATCCGAGACGTGGCCTGTCGCGGCTTCGGTTCGCCCAAACATACGATGGTGCCTTTTCTTTAATCTAACGTGATACGCTGCACTGCCCATCGCCCTTGGCATCTCGCTTCCTGGCGCATCTCGAGATCCAGACGGAAAGTCCATAATTCTCCCACCCGCCCACAACCCGCCAACCCCCACCCCATTCCCATTCCTCGCTGCCAAGCTGGTCCGCTCCACTGGCGCCAGGAACACGATCTTTGTATCTCCAGGGAGGCATTTGCGCGGTGTGGTAGCGCCAGAAGCCTGGCCTTGGCTCTCGTCATCCTCATTCTCGGTCGTTATTGGGTACCCTTGGCGGAGAGGCTGCTCATCTCGGTGCGCGTAACCGTATCCATCCAGTGGTTTTCGTATTTTGACGCAGAATCAGCTGCAGGTGCGACTTTTCGGTATCTCTTATTATTATATGTCTTGATTTGAATTAGTTGGTTCAGCTCGTGGTTGTGGTGTGGTTTCACTAGTTGGCTGAACTGGTGCTGAGATGCCTCGTATTGCTGGAGTTAGTGCATGCACCAAGAGAGACATCGTATCATAGACTTTACCACACCGCTATTATGATGAAGAGAACCAATGCTCTGTTTTGCTCGCATAACCAGTCGAGAGATTATATTTTCGCTTGCTATTTCGAACTAAGTAGATACACGCATCTTCAATTGTGGCGAGAGCATCAATGGTATAGGGTAGGTAGGCGGGTTACTCGGGGCGTCTTCGGAGATCGGTAACTCTCATCGTATTGGCTCAACCATGCTTGCCTTATTCCTTTCGTATGTAGACAGATGGGTAGTAGCAGTCTCAGCTACACCCCTACTCAGAAACATTCGGATATGCATAATATGATAATATAGGACGTGTGTCAAGCTTCAGAATGAAAACGAGCGGCTACTTGGCAGACCCTCACAGGGATCCATCCCATTCTGGTCCCATCCCACCCCCCGCGTCTCATCGAGAACAAGGGCCTCGTCAGCGTTTTTGAACCCTGGCGATCAAACCAGGAACAGCGCCCGCAGAACATGCCAAGCTGCAACCTGTCGATGATGTGACTCGCATATCTCCACGGAAACTTCTCCCCGTCGTGAGCCTGGTACATACTTATTTGTTGCGACTTGTTCAATTATGTTGAGGGACGGCGTCTCAATTAACGCAGTCGGTCGGCCTAACTGTGCTCAGGAAAGAAGGTTCATTCTTGGTCTTCCCACTCCGCAATTTGAAGCCCCCGCCAAAGCTCGCCGATAATTCAATACAAGCTGTAGGTATGTAAGTAAGAAGGGCGATGTGCTCTAGTACAGCAATTCCCTTCCGCTGTGGGCTGGTCTCCAGCAGCTGCAATGGGCGTTTGATGCTTCCTTTTCTACAGGCGCGTGGAATTCGTGCGGATTGGAGCTTGAATTGGTTTCCGGTCCAATGACGGCAGCTAAGCTACTCATAAATAAGACACGATTCTAGGTCTTGGTTTTCCTTGAGAAAGGTCTATTACCCATACACACCGGATGAAGCCTACGAGATTGCTAAGTTAGGTCAATATTATTATTCGCTATGTGGAAGATGGGAAACGCCATCTTGAACACATCTGCCCACGGCCTGAAGGCAAAATTCACAAATAGTGAGTTGAGAACTCGGCATAAGACTGAGCCATAAAGGTTGTGCGTTCTCAGGACATGCCATGTGGTATCAGCCGTTCGGCGAGTTGTGGTTTTGAGTTATAAGGCAAATTGAAAACCTTTCCAGAATTCAAGATCTAGTTAGGGAGCATTGGAATAAATAAGAGTGTTAAAAAGGAAGAAGGGAAGGAACATCCGTAGACCAGATAAAGTATCCTTCCGGATTGATCGACGTCATTGCGTAGAGAGCCTCTTTTCTAGCCACCTAGTGTTGTTGCCACTGTTCTTTGCTCTTAGGAAAGATAATTCTGTTTGGTTTAAAGCAAGAGATGACCTCTCTCATCTGAGGAATATTAGAGTCTACTCTATCTCTAGGAAGGCTGGAGAATCTGAGGAATAACGCAGGCTGCTTATCTTATTGTATTTTGCGCACTGTTTGACTTCTATGCTGATTTACGATCCTCGTTTGAATATTATTTATGAATTACATGGCTGCTACAGTAATTCCTGAATGAATCAGCTTATAGGCAGCAGATATAGCCTTGGAATGCTTGAGAAATTTGTTAGAGCGACGCTCGTCTCTTTTGGAATCACAACAAGCTTTAGAGTGACCTTGGTCCAAATTCCCAGAGTCCCTTTAGACCCCATAACAAGAGATGTAAGATTGTAACTTGCTGAGCCCTTCCGAGGGCGTTTCCTCGTCTTGATGACTTGCCCGTCGGCAAGGACAGTGGTGACATTGATTATCCAATCCTTCATCGTTCCGTACCTAAAGGCGTTTATGCCACTGGAATTTGTTGAGACCATTCCTCCAATAGTGGCCTTTGGAGATGGGTCCAAGGGCAAAAAGAGACCTTCAGTCTTAGTAACCTTATTGAGATCTACCTAATTAACACCAGACTGGACGATAACAGCCATGTCATCGGGGTGGAACGATAATACTGTCCATATAACGCAGGTTGAAGACGATACCTCCGTATGGCGAAGGGAAAATCCCTTCAACAGAAGGTCTAGCGCTATAAGGCGCTTGGTTCAGTCGGATTTTGCTACAAGGCTGAATAAAGTCACTAGGAGGACCTACATGTAGGGGCATTGTACGGAAGAGAGTTCGAGGTGCTTTTGATATTTGCCTGTACGAGGGGTACATAATGGCTACAGCCCGTCTTGTAGAGTTAATGCTCTACTAGTCGGAGAACCCGTGTGATTTAATGTCACTGTCATCAAAGCTCACTGTTTCCTCACCAACTTCATTCATAATTTCATTAGCCGCCGGCTGGAATATTTGTCACCAACACGAAGCCTATTACATAAGGGAAACCTTGACGTTGTTAAACATTTTTGTGGCGATGGACGGCACGCGTGCCGGCATCACTTGGGAGGCCGGGGAACTTTCAATTTGTCATCCCTTTCTTAAGAATACTACATGGCTCATTGACGAGGGACAGATATCTCAAAATGAATTGGAAGCGTACTTGAATTAACAAGGGAGAGTGTATTTATCGAGCCGTAGCAATTGTTGACTACCCGAAAACCGCCCCCTACTTGCCAATGCCGTTATACAAAAGAAGGTTCGGGACTTCTTTCGTGTCTGTGATCTGGTCTTTGATTGCCAGCTCCTCCAGCCTAGTCCGAATCTCGGCAGGCGTGCGTGGACCCTCGAGAGCCAACAAGTATGCCACCACTCCGGCAACAACAGGAGCCGCCTCGGATGTGCCACTGCTGATTCGGGACGCGTTGGTGCCCCCTGTGGCCGATGCGACGGTCACGTCCTGTCCAGGAGCAAATATATCTACGGTGGAGCCCCAGTTTGAGTATGCCCACCGCTGGTAGTTCTTGTTACAGGCAGCGACGGCGATTGCGTTGGGCTGGTTGGCTGGGGAAGTGTCGACGGAGTCCTCATTTGAGTTCCCGGCTGCCGCCACAACAGGGATACCATTGTCGATGGCAGCCTGAACCGCGTCATTCAGCACCTGGGAGGTGATGGGAGTGGCTAGGGACATGTTGATGACGGATTTACCAACCCGGTTCTTGGAGACGATGTCGTTCACTGTCCAGGTCATGCCATCAACGATCGTGGTTGTCGAGCCACTCGCGCTTCCCATGACTTGTACGTTGACCAGGGTAGCTTTCTTGGCTACTCCGAAGGTTGCACCACCGGCCATGCTGGCGACGCCTGTGCCGTGCTCCAAGTCAGTTGGGTCGCTGCCTGTATACCCTGCCACTGCCCGTCCTCCGAACTCAGCATGGTCCAGTAGGATACCAGAGTCAAAAACATAGATAAATGACCCTTCCCCAGCACTAGAGTCGTAATGGTAAGCCGAGCTTGAGGATGGAGGGTTGGCATTGGAGATTATAGACAGAGCCCATGGCGCATTTTCTTGGGAGATGGTCGAAAGGGTTGAGACAACAAGCTCAGGCTCGACCTCTGCGACCTGGATCTAGTGTCAGCGTTGTCCGGTATTTTTCATCTCATTTGGATTTGGCATCTTACCTCTGGACTGGCCCTGATGGCTTCCAAGGTCTCTTCATCGAAAGACCCAGCGTATCCTTGGTAGCCTGGGAAGCTGAATTCCTTCTCGACTCCAGCAGTCTCCCCACCCCGACGAGAGAGGCTGCGCGAGTGGACTTCCGACACCCATTGAGTGTGTGCTGCAAGATCAGCATCCAAGGATGACTTTAGTTTAACAAGGTACTTCTTGGTTTCGCCGCTGGTGCTTGCTGGAAGAGCCGAAGCTACAGCGGCGAAGGCAGCGATGGCCTGGAGAAGAGTTTGTGAGAATCGCATTTCAAGAATTCACAATGCTATAGAAATACTAGAAAGCAATACTCATTGATGGATAGATTCCTTGGAAATAAGGATTGAGAGACAGTATTTAAACCTCCATATCTGTACCCCCACTAGGTTGATGGCCCGCATGATCCTGGTAATCCTAACCAGGATCGCTTTGCCCACCTGCCCCAATCTATCATGATGCAATAAATGTGGAAACGGGAAACGCCTAAATAATTGACCTTTGGTTGGAAATAGAGTGATAAACATGCTGTCAGGGCTCAGGATACGAGGTGCACGCGACAAGGGGGATTTGATAGGGTCGGAGACAACACTTTTTGAGTCAGTGACATTGCCCCTGATCGTCTGCACCCATCCAATCCAATGTGGAAGGTGATAGTCTCTCCGCATAAGAAGAGGCTGGGCTGAGCGTTATTGCCTCGATTGTTGGAGCTACAAATAGGCGTAAATATAACGCGTGGGATTTAAACCTCTGGTCATAAGTTACTTAAGAAGACAAAAGACTTCCTCTCTTGTTTCTCTCCAGGACAACAGACTATACATTCAGCCCTGGGGATGATGCGCCTTTTCTGAAGGGTGGAAAGATTGCGGATGATACCATTCTCGTCGCGGCTCCGGCCCACAACGGCCTGTTGACTACATTTAGTTGCCCAGACCTACCATCCACGCGATTCAACCTCCTAGGTGAGCCTGATGCAAGCCGTGGGTCCCCCGGCATTCCCACATGAGTGCCGGGCGGAGTCCCTCTATTCAGCGGCTGTTAATCTGTGTTCCGGTGGGATGTAGCGCACCAATTGCATTGAGCCCTTGCGTGATTCATGCCTTTGTCCCCGGCGTAGCTTATCAGAAATGCCTGACTGGTATTTGATGGTAATTCAATGTCTCTCGGCACGGGCCGCAGCCTTCCTATCCGGTATACTTGAAATTTGATCGTGTGATGCCCACGGTATAGGATCAAGGCATCTGCACTGAATGTTCTGTCCTAGGCCTCTCGAAAATTCTCAAGAAAGTGACCTCACACCTCAAAGATATTGCACGGGATCTCTTTTTTTTTTTTTGGACAACTAGATAATCCAGCCAGACAAGGCCACGACAGAAATCGCCCAGAGGCAGACGTAGATTCTATGCCTCTTGAAACGTGAGTAGCCTATTGAAGGTCAAAAACAAGAAGGAGTGATGGGGGCCCATCAAAGAGCAGCAACAGGACATACCAAAGCTAATGGGATCAACAGAGCTAGCAACGGTCCCTGCAAAACAACCCGCGCTTGGTAGGGAATGGCTTGCTCATACGCTGATATTGCCAAACTGCGCCGAGCTGTGAGGCGAAAGGCCTAAGAGATGGTAGCTAGATATCATGAGCTTTGATAATGAAACTTGAGAAGGATTGAGCTCGGAAACCCTCACAAAAGAAGTTATTCTGGACACAACTTTACAGGTAATCTCGACACCATGACGCCTATGCATTGTCCTTATCTAAAATATTTCTAGCATATTGCCATATGTTACCGGAGCTGAGACGGGAAAGTCCCAAGTCCAAGTTAATACCAGTTGTGTTTCTAGAAGCTTCCGGACGAATAGAGAGATGTGCAAGTCGCATCCGGCAATTCACCCCTGCATCAAACTCTTCACCTAGTTGTAGTTTGACATCCTCTCTGCTATCATCAGAAAGTTGTTCAGAGCTTTGATTGTCACAAGCCATTGCCTCCAGTTGAGTTTCCGACAGGGAAGAAATATCCCCCTTGTATGAATCGAGGACCTTGCAAAACCACTGAGATGTATTTCTGTCGGCTTGATGAGATACTCGAAATAGCAGGAGAGTACTCGGGCCAGAGTAATATTGAAGTTGAACAAGAACACGATCGGTGGGTGCGGTATCGGAAGGTTGGATATTCAAAACACATCCACTCGAAAGCCGCCCGTGAGGAAAGGTGTTGGCGGAAATAAAGAGTCTTCCTTCGGTCAAGAGCAATACCTGGTAGCGGCTCTCTTGGCGGATGTTAATAGGAGTAGTGGATTGGATTGTTTTCGAGGGTGTAGTGAGAGGCTTGATCAAACCGATTTTGGATCGAATAAATATATGTTCTCTGGTATGCTCGACTGGCATCAGATAACTGGATAGTACGGCCATACTCCCGGGGAGCCTGATTGGCGCGCCTGGTGACCTGGCTCTCGTGAGAACCCCGCTGGTAAGGTCGCCTTGAAGAAATATCGCAACGGCTCCCGAGCCCCGTGTGAGTGATAGCACGTTTAGAAGACCTAAAAATCCGTCTTTCACCTCTATTAGTGGAAGATTGATTGATAGGCCCTGGTTTGTGACTGAATAGGAAGATACCCTGCCCCGAAAAAGTCGGTAAGGTTCAAAATTACTGGAGTCTCGAAACACAGTCGGTGAAGGGGCCAGAACACTGACCCAGTCCATGGGCACGGTGTTGTCAAAGGTCCAGCAAAATAGACTCTCGTCTGCAGATGATTTGATAATTTCCTCCTGGAGACGGATGAAAGCTTTATATCCCTCCCCGTAAATCAGGGGCATATTGACGTCGAGAATCCCGAGCATACAATATGCGATATCCTCAGGCCTCGTCGTAATGCGTCTTGCTACCCAAGACATCCTCTGAGCTAGACTTGCTCTATATATGCTGTGACGACCGGTGATGAAGGATTTTGGGATTCCAGTAATGTCTTTGATCGTATCTGCCAGGTCATTTTTAGACCCAAGAAAGGTCCAGTCCCTGGAATAGAAGTTGACCTTATCGGGAGCTAATAGTTCCTGCAGAGTCCAACCTCTGGTGAACCAACGACAGTCTTGAAGCTCCTGCCTCGTCGGCGGAATTGGGAACTCATCGGCATCTTCTAAATATGCATAGCAGACCACCGCATCTCGATACCAGGCGAACATGGAGTTGATAGCCTCGGCCAGTTCGCTCCAATTGGGCTTGTCAATACAGTTCGTGTCCACCCAAAGATAGTCCAGACCATCGCGTATTGCCTGATTTAGAGCATTCTTGATCTTTGCATATCCAGCCTTAGCTGGGGGATGCTCAACACCCAGCTCTTTGGAAGCCGCTTCAATTTCCGTCCACTCGGTCAGGAGGATCTCTTCAGAGCCCCATGTGTGAGATAGGATGGCGTATTTTGGGATATTTGCGCCAAAGAACTCCTCCAATGCTAGAGTGTGTGCATTGATTAATCGCATATTCTGCAAAGAGAGGTGAAAATAAAGCCTACAAGAAAGGAAGATCAGTTGTAATAATAAGCAACGAAGACGAGGGATTTCGACCAAGGACCAGTGAGTCCATACATTAGTCAGCAGCTAGAGACTGCTGAAATTCAGGAAGTCACCCCAGCCGTTGACACATACCCTACACCAGGAAGTAGCATGGACTTCCAACACAAGTCAGCACCTATGACTGCTTTGACCCGCAAGACTTGATGGTTCATGTCCTAGATTTGGTTGTTTGGGTCTTATTAGGGTACTAGGAGAACGAATGCCGCAAAATTCAAGTTATGCAGAACCACTAGAAAGATGATAATGGTTCTTTTGTGAACAGAAATGTAAAGGCACAAGTTGTTTGGGAAAATTCATAGAACATCATCACTTTTAAATCTGAATCAGGACCCGTAAAACTCCGAACTAGATGGTTTCAATAATATTGACTTAATGATCCTTGTTGGATGGCTTAAACATCATTGATATATCACGTCCTCCCGGAGAAATCGAATTAATACATCCAAGAGGCCTTGACCGGCATTTAGCAGGTTCACGTTCTCGTTTAGGGTGATTTATAAGGAAAGGGGCGTCGGGGAGAGAGTGTTTACTTTTGGTGCATTGGATGATGAGAATTTTGCCTTCTTGGGCGACAAATGACTACTAAGTACACAAGAAGCCGGCTGTAAGCTTAGACATGCATTTTGAGTAACTGTGCATAACCACTTACACGTAGGCCATTCCTTAACCCAACTTTTATACGAACAAACGTAGTGCATACGCTTGGAGATTTATCGAGTCCACTCAGGGTATCAATGCTCAACTTCTACAATATACTTGTTGTCGTGGAACACCGCGCTGTAGTATACTTGGCACTGTTATTAGTCCATAAAAGCTAGCGTGGTCATCTGCAATGATATTGTATTAATTAAGTATTATATTCTTGGCTTATCGGCTTTTTCACTTTCACAATTTTTTTGTTCTTTTCTATTTCAAATCCTCGATCGACCATGCACGGCCTGGCTATCGTACGACACCTCAATTTCATCGGTCCGCATGATGTGTCCCTCCGGCGGCGTGCTACCAGACGGCCGAGAAAAGTTTTGGAGAGGGTATCGATCGGAGGAACTCGGATCATTGCTGTGTCCACTGATAATAATCTCCTGGCTGCCATCGCGATCATCGAACGCCGTTTTCTCAAGATCGTACTGGGTAGGAGGCTTCGACTTCCGCCCGGCAGTATCGGTGGTCCCGAGGCCACTCCTCGGCTGCATCTTGTATGCTTCGTAGGAGCTCGTTTTGCGCCTCGACGAACTGAACGGGTTGTGGCCGAATATCATGTCCATTAGCGGTGATAGGACCGGGATGGTGCAAGCCATGATGATGGTGGAACCTTCGATACTGAAAACGTGTGTTAGTAAACACTGTATCTATACTATAGTGTTAAGAAGTGATGAGGCAAGTAAATGACGTACACTGTCCAAATAACCAGATCCGAACTTTCATCTGATAGCGAGTTAGCTCGTGCTCAAATATGTCTGCCGACTAAGAGGACCTACATGAGAAGTCAGGGCTGGCGAGACCCTTGGGAATTCTAGTCGTTTTATATAGGGCGACAGCACCGGAGCTGGATGTTTGTCAGAACATTTTGTGTTCGTTGGTATTTTAAAAGGAACATGAGGTAATCAAACATACACACAACCAATGCCGAGAGCGACAGAGAGTGCAATCTTCTTTTTAAGCTTGAGTTGCAGCTGAAATAGTACGATGGCCGGATAGACGGCAAGGTAAATGTCGACGAATGCAGAGAAGGCTGGATGATAGGTGGTTAGCTTCTTAGACACGGGTCGCATGTAGTGTGGAATCATCCTACCTCCGGCATAAAGACTGAAGTTCACAATGTGATGCTTTGGTACACATGTACCCTTGATGTCGAAGTTCCATTGCGAATTCGCCGGCTGACATTGTCCCAGTAGTGTGCCGATAGTCGCGAAGAGAGTCAAGAGACACCATATAACTAGTCCCCAAAGGAACCACCGGTGGTATTTTCCAGGGTTCATCAATTTGATTAGGAGATGCGCGACAGCTAGTTTGGGGAAGCCAAAGCATAAGACGCCAGGGCAGAATGCCACTATCGTCCAAAGGATAACCTTTTCTTGCCGCTCGTCGGAGAGCAGCTGGTAGTGTTTTCCATTGCCATAGTTAACGGCTAGCTGGGAAAAAGTAGTTGAAAGGAAGCCGCACACCTATGAGCGGATGTTAGAGGAATGACGAGCTTGTTGGGATGTTGGAGAGTCAAGAATGTACGTACCAGTCCTGCAAGGCACCAGTAGTCATCCGGCATAAGCTTCTTGTACACGCGCAGCCTTACAAACAGTCGCGCGAACACAAAAACGGCTGCTAGTGAAATGAAGAGCCAGCAAGTGATGGATATCGAGGGGCCTTTGTCTTGCGCTGCCCAGGCATCATACTCCGGGGTGCCTGATGGCGGCCCATCGAGAGACGTGGTCGACATGTCGGCGAGAAATTTTGATCAACGCCGGACCTCTCTAGGGCGAAAGAGAAAGAGGAGAAGAGCCTCAAATTTGTTAGAATGAGGAGAGACGCGAGCGGGGGAAGGGCGAGAATTGAATGTCATAACTCCGCCAAATGCAGCATAACCCACCGGGTCACGATCCAAGAGGGGCGTATTGAATAACGATGCGTACGGGGCTCGGCATAACTGGGTTCTTATCACAGTAAGCCTTGGGTGATAGTTCCAACGTTTCCCCTCTTTGACAGGGTCAGGAGTTGGGATTGTTGGTCTGGTAAGCGACGATCTCACTTGAACCATCCACGACCCCGGGAGACCCTGGCCCTATATCACAGCGTGGTAAGGCAGATTGACGTGTCGTCCTGTATTCCTCGCATGCCCTCATCGTATGTGTCGTATCAGAAAGCAGGATTTAAAGACATGCACAAAAGGGCATATATCGAATATTTGGTTGAGCTGAACGATCGAGCGCAACATCGAAGCAAGCAATGCAACCCTCCCCATCAATTTAATGTCACGAGGCAGAGTGACAGTGAATGTAACGGCGGACGGGCTTACTGTCCAGGGTTGTGCGTCCCAAGACCAGGGTTTTTGGTCTGAACTGTCACTGCCGGGGCTCTGGGGTATTTACTCCCAATATCCGTGGGGCCTTGCTCCTTACTTTTGGAAATTGACCGCAATTCTGTCACTCTCATGACCTCTTTACTTTTGAGCTCGGTGTGTTGCAGGCATTCATCAGCCACAACCATATACCGGTAGATCAGTGTGATGGTGGTACCTGAAAGGGGTCGATCGGTGGTGTTGACGAGGACAACGTTGGAGCTCGCTAATCGCGTAAGATTGGTGAAAGCCCTACTAAATTGGGGTTAAGAAGAAATTGGTCAATGACCCGAACCATTGGTCCACGGCCAATCCCTACGACCTAAGCTTTCGTCATCTTGGCAGGGATCTTGATCCTCACGTCCAACACTGCCAGGCAGTAACCAACAAGCTACTGAGTTGGCCCAACTGCGTTCCTTCGTCCTTGGCAACGTCTTTACCACAACAAAAGTGTAATATGATGTTGGCGCTAGACGTTGCACTGTGAAGGGGCAGTTGAGAAATGAGCCCTATCATCGTCGAAGCCTCTGAGTAATAGATTACTGATCAGCACAACGTGGGTTGGCTGATGTGGGTGACGCGAGAGGCCACCCGGGGAAATGATTGACGTTGGCACGTGTATTCCTGATAATGATGAAATATTTGCAGTATATGGCTGTAAGCTGCCTCCTAGACTTTGGGAATTTGATTACCTCCAAGATTTCCAAAAGCTCCCAACAGACCAACGAGCCCATTCTGCTTAATCACCTTCCACAAGATGGCTCCCAACGGAGTAAGCGAGTCCCCAGTGGACGTATCCGTAGCGACGAATGCGACGAACCTCCAGGCTACATCTGACCTGGTTAAGCAGCTTGCTGCCGGGATTGACGCACTGACAGCAGGGGGTGGTAAGGATGACACTTTACGACAGGATTTGAGCATCAAAGCGCGAGATTTGATGCTCTCACTTGAAACGCCTAGAGAGACGAGTATTAAGCATATTTGGGCAGAGGTCCGTTTTGATCCTAGCAACATGCTCTCATGGCATCAATTGCATTCATCCTCCTTTTTTTCGTCCTTACTGTCTCCTTGTTTACTATTTTGGCTAGGACCATGGAATAATGCCCATGAAACGAGGCTAATTTTGAGATCTATACTTAGACTGGTGCTACAGGGGCAATTAGCTGGGGCGTGGACTGTGGCCTGTGGAAACAAATTGCTCGCAATGGCGACAGACCGCAAAGCGTACAAGAGCTTGCTTCCCAAGTCGGCGTTGACGCTCTTCTTTTGGGTGAGCACGAGAATTGACTAACCACAAGATAATAAGCTGACAAGGGCAAAGCGAGACTGCTGCGGCACTTAGCAGCATGCGGGTTCATCACAGAAACTGGACCTGATGAATATAAGCCTACCAACTTCACCAAGTCTCTAAGCTTGGACATCATTGGTGACGCTTACATTGCGCTGTATGCACAAATAGATTTCCACGTCATGTGCCTCGTGGTACGGAGCTAACATCTTGAGCAGACCATCTAGCAGCGGTGGCGGGCAACTCAAGTTCCATGAATTTAGCCGCAAACGTGGTTGGAAGAACCCAACTAACGCTCACGACACAAGTCTTCAATATGCGCACAACACGGATAAAGATCTGTTTGCGTATCTGCAGGGGCTTGGGTATGGGCAGCACTTCAACAATCACATGCGAGGCTACCGGCAGGGTCGTCTTCCGTGGATGGCACCTGGATTCTTCCCAGTCAAGGAAAGACTCATCGATGGGCTAGACACGAGCGACGACCCGGTTTTACTGGTCGATATTGGCGGCAGCGTCGGTCATGATCTGGAAGAGTTTACCAAGTACCATGGATATGCGCCAGGAAAGTTGATTTTGCAGGATCTACCAGCCGTCATAACGGAGATCAAAGACCTGAACCCCAAAATCACCCCCATGGAATACGATTTTCATACCGAGCAGCCAGTTAAAGGTACTATCCGACTTCTCCCTTTCTTAGTTTGATGTGACTAACCTCGAAATCTATACTCAGGTGCCCGAGCATACTACCTGCACAGCTGCCTCCACGACTGGCCGGACAGTGTTTGTAAGAGCATTCTGTCTCGCGTCAAGGCAGCCATGAAGCCTGGATATAGCAAACTCCTCATTAATGAGAATGTTATCCCTTCTACGGGCGCTTGGTGGGAGTCCTCGGCGCTGGACATGACCATGCTGATGCTGTTTAGCGCCAAGGAGCGCACTGAAGCTGATTGGTATGATTTGATCGAGCGGGCCTCTGGCTTGAAGATTGTCAAAATCTGGAGCGGAGGAAGAGGTGTTGAGAGCTTGATTGAAGTTGAGCTCCCGTAGAATCTTTTCTAGCCCTCATTCTGAACCAGAGAGTATATATCTAATTTAGAGTCAATACACAAGCAAGAATAGCTGTAATTGAAATGAGTAGCGTCTTAGGTCATTTCGGTACCTGTGCAGTTGTATCCGCGCGATCGAATAATTTCCTCATATGAAAACATTGCTACTGAAAGTTTCTCGGATAACTCAAAAAAGCAAAAGGGAATTTGGACCCCAAGGGACAGTCGCTTCGACAAGGCTGTGTAAGAAGACTGATATATATGATGTTAGAAAAAGTAAGCAAACATGAATGTTCAGTGAGTTGCCTGGTGACCCAAGAACTTAGGGAAGCTGTTTGGTGTGGCAGCACAGGAGGATGACTCGTCTGGCCTCTCATTGACTGAATTATTTCGTGGAGCTGCGTACCAGCTAAGATGGATCATCGGCATGAAGTACGATATCTTCCAGCTCTAGATCTAAGAGTGTTTATTCACCGAAGTTATATAACTTTTACCTTGAATGTTGGTATTGAATCGGACAGTCGAATGAATTTACTTAAGATGTATTGGAGCTGTGGTTTACTCATGCTTGGTTCATGTATTATTGGGTGAAGTTTTATGAGTTGGGTTGGTGGAATGTCTCGACCGACTATGATATTTTGATGATTTGTGTTAAGCAGTAGATGACTACTTGGGGAGCAAACCCACTACTTAGACCTGCTAACTAGGTGATATGATGTTGGGAAACGCAAAGGCAAATATTCTATTTCGAGGGTTTTTTACTTTAATGCTGTATCTTGATGCAGTTTTCTGTCTCAGTATCTGCCAAATGAAGCTCGAAGCCCCATCTGAGTTCTTCGGTCTACAAACCAAAGGATTTGTGTATAGCGGCACTCAATCTCTGGACAGCCTTCGTCAATTGCTCCTTAGTTGCGGTGGAGAAACTCAGTCGGAAGAAAATGCTTTCTACCGGAGTGTCGGGTTCCGCACGGAACCATGAACCTCGCGCGAAGAGAACTCCTTGGTTGATGGCCTCCTCGAAAATTTCTAGCTCGATTTCCTCGAGCGAGCGCTTTGGAAAGTCGGGGTGGCGGCTATGATCAAGCTTGAGCCAGACCTATGGTACAGATTAGTCAAACAGAAAGAAAAAAGAAAGAGGAGAAGGGCGTGACATACAAACATGCCACCAGAAGGTGGAACCCAGCTAACGAGATCCTTTGGCAGATGATTGTCTAAAATATCTAGCAGAACGTTTCGCCGTTGGGTGTAATCCTTTCGAATCTTAGCTAGCCACTTGAAGTATCCCTCGTGCCCCCAAGTCTCAAGCAGCTTCCACACAATAATTTGAGAAAATCCGTTGGTTACTTGGTTAGAAAGTTCTGCCACTCGGATGTAATTCTGCAGGATTTCTTCACTGCCAATCACCCACCCCAGGCGAGAGCCGGGCGCGAGCACTTTCGAAGCTGAATCAATCCGAATCACCCTTCCATCCACGTCAATACTAACATAGGACGGAACAAGACTCGCGATGAAGTCTTCGGGGGTTTGGGGCTCTTCTGCAACGCTTCCACCCTTTTCATAAGGTCCCAGTTGCAAGAAGTAGTAGGGATCATCCTCAATGATGAGAATGTCATGCTTTTGGGCAACGGCATATACCTCACGACGACGCTCGATGCTCTGTGTAGAACCTGTGGGATTCTGGCCGGTGGGGATAATGTATAGAATGTGAGGCTTTCTCGCGCCTCGAGCGGTCTCATCCCATGAAGACAAAATCTCATCAAAATTGGAAGGCGAAAGGCCATCATCGTCAGCGGCAACACCGAAAACCTTGATACCCTGAGGCCGCATTGTTTCCAGGACAGTAGAGTAGTTGTATGCTTCTGTCAGGACGGAATCGCGCCTTTCTTTGTCTAAATACGCTCTGACGAGAGTCTCGAATGTACCGGTGCTCCCGGTAGTTAGGAGGATCTTCCAGTCTGCATAGGGAGGGTGCAATACGAGCTCGCTGTGTTCGGTAAGGAATCGTGTTAGCTGCGGACCGCCAGTGGTTTGGCTGTAATTCAGCG